CCCCAAAACCCCAAAACCCCAAAACCCCAAAACCCCTTTAGTTTGATCAGAGTTGAAAACAATTATAATTCTAGAAATTATGAGGTTATTGTCTTGGGAATCTTTTTGATCAACTTCTGCTCAAAGTCATTCACAATGTCAGAAGTATACTCCACAAAGTATGAGATGTCATCAGCAGATTTGTTGAAGAAGTTTGTTTGGTATTCCTCTGGGTCTAATTCAGATTCACTTGACTCATTCTCCATTTCTTCTTTGTCTTTCTTATCTTGTTGTTGTGTTCTCATCTTCTCAATAGCATTCTTTAATATATCTTTGAGTTTAGGAGGTCTATTCTTTTTATTTTGTAACAAGGTCTTGAGAGCTCAATTCTTGAGCTTATTAGTCAGTTTTTGTCTATTAAGGACCATATTAGGATCCCTTGGGTCTCCTTCAGGAAGGGGAAGGATGTAATCGAGCAAAATCTTGCTAATATTTTCCTCAGAATTCTCTTCGATAGCTGTAAACTTTTTAAACTCAGACTCAATATCATCATACTTATTTCTTAGCTTCATCCATGTCTGATCGTCAAGGTACATAACTTGTGTGATTGACTTGCACCTAGCAACTAGTTTAAAGGTGTCTTTATACAAAAAGTTACGATAGTTTAGGACTCAGCCCTTAGTCATTCTCTCAATGACAAAGACTTGCTCATCAACGACAACTTCTATGTCGATTACTCCGTATTGGACTAGGATCAACTTATCAGTCATGTCTTCTTCAGATATCAGGACATGTCCTTTCTCAAAAGTTTCGTCATTAAATGAAAATAGGATCTTATGGATTGTCTCCGTGCACAAATTTTGAAAATAGGGAACTTGCTTAATATACCATTCTTTGAAGATTTTTAACAAGTCATCATACTCATAAATGCACTTATTAAGCTCCTCAGAGATCTATAACAGTGAAAATATAAGAATTACTTCTTGATACTTGTATACAGCATCCTTGTAGGACGCTTTGGTCATGTAACCAAGTGTTCCATACTTGATTGATGTCACAGTAGCTGTTCTCTTACAACCATAAAGCATTGAGATTTCTCCAAAATGGTCTCCACTTTGGAGAGTTCTCACTTTTGATGGCATTGTATGGACTTGCGTCTGACAGTAAACCTGGAATTCTCCCTTGGCAATGAAATAGATCTGAACGTCCTTCTCATTTCCTGTGAGACGCTTATTTTGAGTTACGATTTCGTCTTCAGGAACCGTTAGGATAGTCTCAAGCTTCCTCACAATGTACTCAGAATCTTGGTATTTCTCAATAATAAATGAGAACACTTTGTTGTTACGTAGAATATCTGAGAAAATATGAACAGATACCTTCATCCTCAGAGACGGAGAAATGTTCTTCAAAAAATCATTAAGCTCCTCTTGCTGGTCCTGAGTAGATTGGGTATTGAGAAGGTACTCTCTAACTTTCTTTCGAGTAATCTGAGGTATTTTCATGTTCGCCATTGCTGTATTACATGTGTCCTGTTGTTGCTGGAACTTGACACTTTTCTTGCTCATATCACTAACTAAAACAGCAACTTGCCCGATCAAATTAGCATTGACCATTGCGGAGAGAAGCATGATGAAAGAACTGGCAATAAGGACCAAGGTTGTTCTCGCAGCCATCTCGTTAATCCCGAAGAGCATTACTGAATGATAAATTGAGCTCCAATATTGGTGCCAGATTCCTTCTTTATAAATCTGAGTGCTATAGAAGATGAAGTCCATATTGGGGACCCAAGATTTTTCAACTTTCACAATGATCCACCAGATGCATGCCTGGAGATGGATATAAAGCAGAATATTAAACAACAGTTGAACTGTCTTTAAATAAGTCTTGGTAATCTGCTTTACCTTCAAATGTTGAATGATCTTCGAGATTCTAGCAGTTCTAATAAGCTTGAGCATTCCAAGAACAGCCAGGAAGGAAAGTGCCTCAACCTCGATATTATCAAACGGGATTGATGAGATCAAATCAATCCAGAATTTGCCTCCTAGGACATATTTCTTAGCAATCATCTTGGGGTCATATACCTCAAATCCTCTTTTGGTATTGATAAAAGTTGTTCTGAAATTCACTCCAATATCAAGCATGAAAATAATGTTGACTATCCAGTCAAAGAATGTGAAGAAAAGGTTTTCTCTCCAGCTAGGATCGAATGCAATGAAGAAAGGCGTCATAATACTTGTATAAACAGCCAAAGAGATAACTATCAGGTCCCAGTAGAACCTGACTTGGCCGCTTTCTCTCATGATATACTTGTATTGTTTAGGAGTTTCCTCAAATTCAAGATCTTCATCAAGTTCTTCAGTAATACCATTCTTTTTCTCTTTCGAAGGACTTTCATGCAGAGATTCGTAGTCACTCTCTGAAGAATTGCCGTCTCCATTCTGAGCTTGATAGTGCAACGTGTATTTTAGCAAATGTTCTGGGAACTATGCAAGGGATAAGCATGATGCAATAAGGCTCAAAAGTCCTTCTTTAAAACTAGCAAGAAGGATTCCAAAGAATTTAGCATGAAGTTTTCAAAAATCCTTACAGTTGTAGTATAAGCACTCATTTTGTTTTCAGGCTTTGGCTTTGGCTCTGCCTCCCCTTCAATCTTTTTATTCCTAGATTTAAGAGCCTAGGCTTACGATTTATAATTATAAATGCCTGAGTGGTTACCCAGCTGCTTCATGATAGTATCCTGATGCTCTGGAGGGAAACGCTCTAGGTTATTAGAGCTCTGGTTCTTAAGATCAGTGTTCCCTGAGCCACCAGCTATATTGAAATTAACACTTTTAGATAACAGATTATCAAGTAAATCCGGGAGTAAGACTTGAAAATAGTTCCTACTTTTTGTTTTAGCATCTTCTTTTTGTCCTATATTTCTAGTTCTCTCTTCAGGACCGCCTCCATTGTTCTCTCCAAGGCTGCTCCGAATTATCCCATTTGCTTCTGCCTATGTATTATTAGAAAATTAACTAAAGTAACAACCAATATTTTGATTTCTTCTTATCAAGCCTGTTCTATCTCATTTCTGGACAAAATAAGTCCTTAAAAGCTTGAAACGATATTTCAAGCCTCTGAGATCTCCTCATAATCTAAACAAGGTGGGACAAGTTTCCCTCAACTGATCATGACCAGTCTCTAAACCCCAGTTGGAGGTATATAATAAAGCACCTGTCTTGTACGCTTTTCATCAGCTACACAAACCGAAAATCCATGCGAAAGGGTTGAAGCTCTAAGTTTCTTAACTGATCTATAATATCTACTCCAAAAATGTGGTAAGTAAAACTACTGGGACTAAACTTATTGAGGGATAATTATCGCACCGAGTTATAAGCCTAATGCTTTAAGTTTTAAACGTAGAAGTTCTCAAATTTACCATGATTACTGCCTTGTCACTTATATTTTATTATCCTTCAAAATTATTTAATTATAAAGGGGTTTTGGGGTTTTGGGGTTTTGGGGTTTTGGGGTTTTGGGGTTTTGGGG